TATACTTCTTTTAAGTCAGGAATTTAACTGAACTTCATATGGTGAATTTTATATTTTCTCAAATTTTAAATTCAGCTATGTGCCTGTATTCTGAAATAAATTAGACTGCATATCGTGTTTTCTTGTGCATTAGATCTAGACAGCTCTTAGGAGAGCAGAAAGCTGTCAGCTGGTAAGACATTATCCATATGAAGGAATGTATCTGTAAAGTTGGAAAATATTCAGATAACAATTTATAGAAGAAATACACTCCAAGATTGAAAGCTACTTACATTTTGGCATCTGTTACATTCTGACATGCTTCTTCTTCAGCCTTCACTTGTCATGACCACGGTGCCACAGTACTTCAGTATGCACCCAAGCATCAACTGCTGATTTCTGGAGGTAGGAAGGGATATATCTGCATCTTTGACATCAGGCAGAGGCAAATCCTTTTTACCTTCCAAGCACATGAGTCAGCTGTTAAGGCCCTTGCACTGGATCCTTCGGAGGACTATTTTGTTACAGGCTCAGCAGAAGGTAACATGAAGGTAAGGGATCACAGCAGAGTATTTAGCTGGAGTAGTGCATTGTCATATGTTGATCAGCATGTTGTAAATAGCCAGATGAATGCAGTTAAAAAAAACAAAAACAAACACAAAAAACCCCAAACATACACTTGATACACAGGATGCTTGCCTTATGTTTATAATGTAAACTTAAATATATTAAAAGCCTTCTAAGGCAAGTAGGTTTTATCCTCCACTAAAAATAATTAGTCTTTTTTAAGCTGTGAGACTGAATTTTAAGTGGATAAAGCAAAGTGAATGGTTCTGAAATCTAAATCTTGTTTTTCTTTCTTAAAAACGTTCTGGTTTTGCCCATGGACATCTCTCCCTGTAAAACAGGGGGCGCTCAGCAACTTCAACAGGGTGTGAAATTCCTGGAACACCAAGTTCTGTTTTCTCTCTTGATGCTGTAGCCCCAGACAGCTACTGAGATGTCATCATAGTAACAAAGAAACACCAACAACAGAACAAACCAGAAATACAGTTCCTGTTTTAAAGGCCTTTTTTCCTGAATACTAAAGGAAGGAAATACAAGAATAGGGTAAAGAGAAGGAGAATACAGTTTCTTTCCTTTTAGTTGGACTGCAGGTGCTTTTTTTGCTGCCACACACATTGTGGCCTGGTCTGGAGGGCTCCTGCTACTTCAGGGCACCACAGACAGCTGTGCTTCCTACCTCTCTGCATGCCTATTAATTGTGCAGCTTACTTTCTGCAACATTCCTTAGTAGGAAAGCATTTCCAGCTGCAGGAAAGCTAACAATAGTCATCTTGGATGAAAAGGCAACCTGTCTATTTTTTCCTGGGGGGAAAGCCAAGAGGAACACTCTGATCAGGGAACACAGAGCAGCTTCACCCTGCTGAGCAAGCAGCTGGCCCACAGCAAGGTTAGCCTTACACTGTGTCAGGAGCCTCTCCAGACTCTTGGATTTGGAGTAATTGTTGCTACTAGTCTAGAAGAAATACCCTTTACCTTTTTGAATATGATTTAGAACAGCCAGGAATCTGAAACATTAGGGAAAAAATACAAATCCTTTAATTTTCATCTCCTTTTGTTATCCTTTTGCTACAGGTGTGGCGACTGACTGGCTACAACTTAATTCATTCATTTAAGAACGAACATGCTAAGCAGTCCCTTTTCAGGAATATTGGTGCTGGTGTCACCCAGATTGAAACTGTGCAAGGCAATCGTATCTTCTCCTGTGGAGCAGATGGCACACTGAAAATGAGGGTTCTTCCCAATGCTTTCAATGTACCTTCAGGCATTTTTGACATTCTGTAGCATTACGTGAGCTAATCCTGGTTTTATATAATGTCCCTTTAAGTATCTAAAAACAGTAATGTGCACTGTGGGAAGGAAGCATTGTGCTTCCTTTCAAAGCAGTTACTGCAGCATTAAGTATTATGGGGGAAAAGATAATTTTAGAAAAACAAACCCAACTGTTTTACAACAGGTATATTTTGAGTATGCCCATGAGGATCACTGGGGTGGAAATGCATGTACTGTATTGTAAAAGCAAAGAATTCAACCTAGCACCATCAGTCACAGGGGGTTATTGCTCAGCAACCCACGAGCTGCATTTAGTGAGTGTGTTGTAAAGATTCTGACAGGTGTCAGTCACTTAACAAAGCACTGTGGCTCTACAAGTCAGTAAGCATTTCTGATGATGTGATTCTAATTACTTTTATCCAGTTTTTCCCACTAATTGAAGCATGTGTACAACTTCTCATTGTAAAATAGTTTAGTTTTAATTAAGGGTACTCAGTGTATTTGATTTTCGCAAGAAAAGTGTAATGGATGCAAATGCCGTGGAACATGTGCAATCAGGAACGTACTGTGAGAGATGTATCCTTTTATGCTGAGATTTTTTTCCCAGTTAGTATTATTGCACAGTTGATACTGTAACTTGCACATCGACACATTTTTAAACGCGATGGGTTTTAATTTGCACACTGTTTTCCTTTCTTTCTGAGAGCTATGTTTTCTATTGGACACCTGCCTTTACTTTAGGAATGTATTGTAAGCACTAAATGTTTGTAGTGAAGACATCCATCATTCTAGTCAGCTTTTAGTTTTGAAATTCATTTGTCCAGAAAATACTTCGTTAAATGAAGCTGTTAAGAGAATACCAATGGAACATATAATGCCACATTTCAGATGAATGTCAGGCTTTATGTGGCCAGCTAGTAAATAGTGGATAAAACTGGTAATTAAATTATTACCAGAGTATATTGTATAAACTATGCAGAGTTCAATATTGTTTGCTTGTAATATAACTAGCTACTGTTGTCAGATGTATTTTTCTGTTGTAAACAAAAAACATGTTCTTCAGTGACTGGAACGGATGTCTGCGTATTTAAATGTTATCAAACTGTCTTATTCCTCCAATGAGAATTTTGATGTCTGTGCTGTATTGTAAGATATACTAGAATAAAAAGCACCTTTCTCCAAAGGTGATTTTAAATTGCAGCCTATGAAGTATGAGAAGTATGAAGAGAAAGAAGAGTAAATGTCATTGTTTAGTTTTCCCTTTGTAAGTTAAATAAATTACTTTTATTTCATGGAACAGCCCATTCCAGAACTCTTCCTTATATTTTAACAGATTTAACTAAATCTCCAGTGGATTGACTGGACATTACCTGAGCTAGCTTTAACTTGACCTCAGACTGTTCTGAGCGACAAAGGATTAGCTGTTTGCATTTTATTTTCATCTGTTCTAGAAAAGCATAAAGCTAACAGAATTTAGTTCTGCGGCTGCAAGAAGCAAGGCTGGTTCTGTCACTGAGAAAAAAGGTAGAATTTCCTGGCCTCCTTTCTCTAGGGTGTTGATCAAGTGCTTCAACAATCACATGCAGAAATTTAACATGCTTTAAGTTAGACACGTTAGCCAGAAACTGTCACATCTGACTTGAACTGTTTGCCCAGCTACAGTGCTGACTTTTGAGGGGGGGGTTAGCCAAAAAGTTTACTTCATTAGTACCACAATTCCATTTTTAAAACACCACCGCAAACAAACATGAAAAAACTACCAACCAAAAAAAAACCTCACACCCCACAAAAGTCTAAAGCAGCTCACAGAACTGTAGCTCTGGAATGTGAAGTGTCACTCTTTACACAGGTATTGGTAGAATTGTTAGTCTGTGAGGTTTAGTTCAAAGTTAGAATTATGACATTTTGTTTCCCTCTGCATCTCTCCTTAGCATGCAAGGCCTTGGTGAAAACAGCAGGTATGCTGAGAAGAGGCCCAACCAACCATCACTTTATCACACACTGAAGCTTAGCTGCGGCAGAGTTATTTTTCCAGCATATTTGGTAGACAAGGTTCTGCAGGCACAGACAATCCCAAATTCATTAATCCCCTTGACAGTGCCTAGATGTCACACAGGTATTAAAGAGCTCAGTGCAGCTCAGGATTTAAGTGACACTTGGCTTCTAAATATTTGGATGAGCTCCATGAACTTTAGCAATATGCACAGGCAGCTTAGAAATTCAGGTCGGGGTTTTCTGAGGGCATAATTCTCAGTATAGATACACAACATTAGAGATTATGTTCCAGTGTTAAATTTAGAAATCTGAAATGCCAGAACAAAATCAAGAAGTTCTTATTATTTCTCACCATTTTGTTTTAGAAATATGCCTTAGTATAATTAAAATTTAGAAGCACTTATAGTGGTACAGTTTACATGTCAGTGAGGAGCAAGGAAGAGTCTGCAGCAACACAAGAAACTCAAACACTGTTAAAAATGAAATTTTAATCAAAAATGTTACATCTCTTCAATTTTACACCTTGTTAATTTTCTTCCAACTCTCCATTTACAAAACACAATTTCATGTGTATTCAATATTGAGTATCATTATTCCCATTTTCCTTGTCCTTCGGCTGGATTTTGCTTTGGATTATTAACAGCTGATTGGACTTGTCAAATTTGAAGCTTTCTGCTTTTATTTCTATTTAAACAACTATTTCTATCCTCATTATTTTTAACAGCTGTAAACCTTTGTCCAGGAAAAATGTTCACAGAGAATCCCTGGAAAGTATTAAGTGAAAGTGACAAAGGTATTTGTACACACAAGTTCATTATTTAAGTATTTATACAAGACCATAGTCACTGACTAGAAAGTGATTGCAGAGAAGATGATTGCAACTGAAAGTTATAAATAGTCTCTGCTGAGCACATGGCCATAGAATAATCAATGTACATTAGATACAATTATGGGCTGAATAACAGGGGTAAAACAAAAGCAAGTATTTGCTAACTGTGCCAGCTGCAATACTGAACAGCTATTTTTTAAAAAGATGAGGATGGTCTATGTAATTGAAGTATGTTTATACAAAGGCACTTGATCTTCCTTTTATACACACAAACCACCACCAGTGAACAGAAAACTATACCAAGAGACCACCACAGGTATGTCATATGGCTTTAAATAGATTCTTGAGTCAAACATTGCTCCTATACATGGCATGTTAAAATACATTCATCTGCCAAATGTACAGGATATACCATTAAGCTCCCATTCTCCCATGTGTACAAATTCTTATCTCGTAGACTGTAGGAAAGCATAGCAAGAACAGACTGTGAAGAACGTAACTCAAACCTTACATCAATATGCTGTCCCTTCAGTAAATCAAAAGCAAAACTTACTGTCATGTCCTTAGTGTCAGTAACATACATAATGCCACATGCTATGAATGCGTTACCAGCCTTGGCCTTTGGGTATGTAGTGTTGATGTGCCGAATGACTGAAAATGTTTCTTCATCAACATGTGCTACCATTATATTTTCATCAGTGCTTGAGGCATATATAATCCAAAGACCCTTCTCATCCACTGCTATGTTGAAATACGTCTTCGAGTTAGAGAAGAGGTAGTTACGACCATGATGTAAGGCGTTTTCGATCAGCAGTGTGCCCAGTGATGCTTTATCCAGCCCAAATCTGAAATGAGATGCAATAAGTACACTGCGTGAAAAAGTCATTTCCATACACACTGGTTGGTTGAATCAATTCTGAGTGAGTTATTACTGATAGAAGTGTTGTTGAAAATACTTCACTTCAAGGACCGTTCTGATGTTTTTTAAGATTAAGTGCTCAAAGAACCTTCCAAAACACTAGGAGAAAATTCCAAAGTATTAGCAATCTGAAAGGTGTACAAGAGCATGGACTTGCTTTGGTAGGTTTCATTTTATTTAGTCTATGAGCTTTATCATCACTAGGATGAAAGAAGCAACTAAAAGGAATGGGTATGAAAAAATTGGATACCAGGTGAAGGCCCAAACTTGTGAAATGGAATCTGTACAGAAGTTTTCTTTTGACTAGGTGAGAACTAAAGGGAGAAAATGTGATTGACCAAACCAGCTTGAATTCTGGGCAGGTTCACCTAGTCTTAGAGTTCTTCTGAACATTTCAGATAATGCAGTGATTTGCTCAAGTAAACATCAAAGGAATAAAAATTCTACTTTTGCAGAGCCAAAATTCTGACCTCATGCTGGCCTCAACGGGACAGCCTGAATGCTTCACCTCTGATGTATAAAATTGTTTTTATTCCTTGAAATTCCTTAATAGGATGATAATCTGAGGGCAGCAGCAGTGAGCAGCTAAATTGTGTTCCTCTACCAGTTTAAGAGGGTAATCAGCTACTATCAAGACACATCTGCAGTTAGCATTTAATCATGGAATAGCACTGTGCTTTAGCAGAGGCACAGAGGGCATACTTTATCCTCTTAAGTAGTGCCTTCTGGAAAGCACCTTTCAGTGTCTGACTTCTGTCTAACTGTATAGCTCCATTCTTCAAATAAAAGAAGGAAAAACATTACTTAATACAGGAATCTGCTACACTTACAAGTTTTCTGAAAAGACAGGCTTAGTCCCAGGAGCATTTCAGATCCAGGAACTTACAATAGAAGGAGGAATTCTGGAAGAATAATTTTTCTGTTTAAGGTGTGTTGATAGCATGTACTGGATAAATCATCCTAAGAAAACTCAGGAATGACCAACTAGATCATTCCTCTCCACTTCTGTGAAACTCACATCTGCAGCAACTGCATATTTCAGCAGCATCTACATGCAATAAAAAAGGGCTTCAAGGCTGGAGAAGATTTGAGAAATGTGTGTGTTAACCCATTTAATCTTGTTAGTTGCTCCACATCTCTAAATAACCTCATGCAAGGACAGCCTTTAACAGGAATGGTTACTCAGAAATGCAGATTTTCTTCAGAATTTTTTGCTATAAAGAGCCAACAAGACAAAAAGCACCGCAAGATTCATTAGAAATATGCAAGATCTGCAACACACAACACAGTCTTTTTCCTGTGTTACATGAAAATCCTGAAAGAAGCAGAAAAGTGAGGTTTCATTCCTCAGGTTCTCTTGAGCTCCCCCAGTCTAGCCTAGAACTCTAAATGGTACAGAAATCCTTTAATTTTCTGACAAGAAACTCCTTTTAAACATTTTTTTAACATCTGCAAAATGAATCAACCAGTTCCTCACCTGTCCTTTCCATTAAATCAATACAAAAACTCCCAGAAGTTTTCTGAAGCCCAAAACCAAGGACTTAACTGTCACAGAATTCATAGTGCCTCGTTCAATCTGTGCTGAAGGTAAATAATCTCAGAGTGAATAACTGAACAGAAAGCCTATTTCTCAGCAGCTCCTTAGAGAGGTTTTGAAAATTCCACAAATAATTCGCATTCATCTGTACGTGAAGGCATTTCCCAACTAATAGTACCCAAGCAAAGGTGAGGAACCTCTGCCCTATCACTCTGTATTGCTTAGACAGTGATGGTCTTTTACAGACCACCAGAAAAAAAAGCCTGAAGATATTTAAAGTAGGTTGCCAAAATGTGAGGTTGTCTTTGGCAGAATAAATATTATAGAATCCACACAGCTTGCTCACATTCCTTGGCATCCACATGAATATAGGAAGGCAGCACACACCTGCTTGGGAATAGACATCAAAGTATAGTAATGTTCTTGGCTCAGACATCAGAGTCATGTAAAAACTTGAAAGCACACACAATCTTTCACTTGCCCTTGGACTGTCTGTCTTTGGCTCTTCCCACAAGGTGAGATTCTGGTTTTGATTTGTATTGTCTGTCCTCAGGAGAAACTGAAACAGAGATGTAATTCCCAGTTCCAGTTCAGGGAGATACATCAGGAAAGTTGTAAGAACTTCTTATTACGAGGAAATTAAACACTGGAGCCACTCCTCCACAATGGAATGTGCAATTCACCAGGTTGCCACGTCCTCAGCTGCTCCCTCAGTGCATTCCTGTGCAGCAGCATGAACTCAGGCTGCCAGCTGAGAGCAGGTGCTGCCTGAGAGCAAAGCACATCAGCACAGCAAGTGGCTCTGCAAAACCAAGTTCCACAAGTGTGCCACAGTCACATAACCCCTCACCTGTGCCTCCCAAACTGCAGCTGAACCAGTTCTTACTCAGATGAAGGTAGATGCACAGCCTACTTTTCTAAATCAAATAGTCTTCTGACACCAATTTCCTTAGTAACCTCTCATTTCTTTCTTGCAATTATGAACACAGCTAAGAATCCAAGTCGAAGAACACTCACAGCAATGTAATGTGCAATAGAAACCTGTTGGACCCTAGGATAGCCAAGAAGAAAGTCTAGTCATCACTGCACATGGCATCTTGTTCATCTTGAGGTGCAGTTGCCCCATCACATAGTAACAACAGAGCTGAAGCACTTAGACACAGAGCTGAATAATGTTTAAAGAACTGTCACAGCAGAGTAGTGGTCCTGGACTACCCTCCCAGTTTCTCTCCTCTCACAGCATCTGCACACATGGATAGAAGGCTGATGGCCCACATTCTAGTTACAGATTGGAAAGAAGGAGTTGCTCTGTTCTGGAAAAAGTACTGAACCATCCCTTCATTCTTCCTATTCTAGGCAGGACCAAAAGGAAAATGGTACAAGGAAAAGTCATCTGCTTTTCTGAGGTTCACCTCTGCCACTCTAACCCATTGCTCCTCCTACCACAACATCACTTGCCTTACTTACTTAATTGTTTGGACTTACTTCAGAATGACATTGGTTCCTCCCTTCTGGTAGTACAGATGATTGTTATGCACTGCATGACCACATCCGTAAAAGAATCCTGTGATGTTAATGATCCTGTAGCTGTCATTCAGCAAGGCATTGGAATTCTCATATTCTTTTATAGAGTTTCCTAAACACAGGGGAAAACATGGGGAAAAAAAGGATTATCATTTGGTTCATCTAATTTTGAAATCTCTATCCTAAAATTCAATCTCAGCTTGACATCAACAGACAGATAACAATTGTATTTGTGTTTTCTATAGTGATTCATCTTGCTGA